CTTTCTTTTCTGTCTCTAGAGTCTTCGGAATTTGTGGAGCAAGTTTTCAGTTCATGTTCAGTTGCCAGGGACTGAGTCTAGACAAGTCAAGTTTATTTCTCTTTTCTAATGCCGGAGGAAAGAACTGAGAGATTAAAGAGACAATATTATTTTCATTTTCTTTACATAGGAGTATAAACAAACAGAAGTTAAAAGATTTATAAGCGATTGATGGGAGCTTAAATCAATAATTCTCTTAAACAGCAAAATTAAGGTGACTAAAAAGGGATAAATAGTGGGCAATAAAGTAAATAATTGCACAAAAGAGGTAATTTAAATAAAATACAGAAAATTAAAAGTAGTTTTCTCGGTTTCTCTTGAAGAATTGAAGCCGGAATTCCTCAAATGAGTCAACTGTTTACGCAAGCCAGGTCGCCGATTACTAGTATCGACTCCTGCACAAACTAACCAGATAAATATTCTCCCTTTTCCTTACAAATCAAATGTTTATGATCTACCAGTTCTTATAGCTTTTTTCGTATTTTTTTCCACAATTTATATTAGGTATACGACAAGGATTTTTTGATTGGTGTTCACCCACATAATAATCTTATATCATACAACTGTGGTGCTACGTCAGTAGAGAGTGGGGAAAGGAAAAAAATGGTTTTATTCTGTGAGGTGTTCAAATTAATTGTCCACTGTAAAAACATTCACATTCAGTTGAGCGCTCGCCCTTCACGGTCAGAGCCGTGATCATGGAATTGCGGGGTTAGTGCAGCAACTCGGATAACATAAAAACATAGATAAAAAAGGAAAAGAAAGAAAAGCTTCCATTATGTCCATAGGATCAAAAATGCCGATGCTTTATCATCTTCTTACATTGTTCCACCCGTAACTACTCCTGGCTTGAAATATAGCGCTCTTTCCTAAACACTTCCTGATCAAGCCGGAATTTCATGTACGCACTACGGACCTACCTTCCAGGACCCTGGCAACTATTTGACTCTGACGTCATAAGCAGATGTCGTATCTCGTTTCGGCAAAACGAAGACACGAAGTTGAGTGAAACATTTGTTTGGCTCTGCGGGTTCTTCTAGAATTGGGCGAAAGTAAGCTTAAACTTGAGCGGCTTTAAGGTATGTTGTGGTCAGAGATGCCTTTTGACTGTATTTAAAACGGTACGTTTAAGCATTCATTACTACTTTCTCCGGCGAATTCCGTCTTGAATTTCCAAAGAATTTCACAATAAGCTGCTTTGTGCTTAGTGTACGTTGGATCTCATAGTGTCGCTGACCGTCCAGCGTTAGCAGCTTTATGAATATTATGTAATTGGTGAATATAATTCATAAACATCTTCGATATTGCTTTGAAATGTCGATTTCTTTCATATTCCTGTTCTTTCAGTTTGTCTTCTCCATTCTTCCATCGATTACTTAAGCTTAATTCCTACGTGTTCGTAGGAGATATAAATTGATAAATTGTGTTATTCGTTGGACATAGCCGGGATCTGTGCAAATAAAACAGCATTATCATACTTCTTTTCCAAGTTCTACTAGAGTTTTGACTTCAATTACGCGGTCTTCGATCAGTTGCAGTCAAAAGGGTGTTGAGAATCAATCACCTGAAACTGAACTTCGCGGCATACTTTGCTTCCGTGTTGGTAGCTTGCCATTGTCAAATCGTAAAAACTGACAGTTATGTGCGATTTAAGGTGCTAAAAAGCCCCTTTATTTACAATATCTTTGTCTTAAACTCACGTTATGGTGAAATAGTTAATTAAATTAAACCGGGTTGAGTAATGCTCTATTAAATTGGCCAAATTGTAAGGGACCAAAGCCACAAGCTCCATGATCTGCTGCCGCCACGCAACGGGTCCACTTATTGCACCCGTAGACAGTTATACTTCAAACTACCGATTTGTAAGACAAATATGTTTAAAAACACTTTTATTATGGCGAACAGTTTTAATTATTAGTAGTAATCCTAATTATTAGTATTTTGGTGTTGATACTTCTCCTTTTGTATTTTATTGTAGGTTACCGTGAAATTCCGAAAATAAGCCCCCTGGCTTATATTTTTCGAAGGCCCCTTTTGAGGGGCATATTTTTGGAGGGGCTTATATTCGGAGGGGCTTATCTACGGAGGGAAACTTGCGTTTCAAAATTGATTAGGCTAGCCTTATAGACTAGTTGGAAGTAAATTTACCGTTTTTGCTTTGTTTTACTTTGTATTTGAGGGAAATTTTCCAAGTACAAGCCCCCGGAGGGCTTATATTTGGAGGGGCGATTTAACGGAGGGTTTTTTGTGTTGCCAGTTTGGGGGGCTTATATTTGGAGGGGCTTATACATGGAGGGGCTTATTTTCGGAATTTTACGGTATATTTTACAGTTTTTATAGTAGTTATCATATATTTATAGATAATTTTTAGTTCCATTGTAAAGTAAGTCACATTTCAGCCAGCCAGGGGACTGCAATGATTTTACTTCTTAATAAAGCTATCTATCTATCTATCTATCTATCTATCTGGCTCTAGCCTGAATTTCATTGATTACTTCAAGTCATTACTCCCTCAGTAACGTCTGAATCGAGCGGCCGTTAATGCCATCCAGTCACGTCACTACTCCTTTGCTTTAATTCATGCAAAAAGTAAAACACAATTTTCAAGTGGCAAACCAAGAAACATTGTTTGGAAAATTAATGTCCACATGATACAGAACAGCTGACAGAATTGCTTTATTTTTTTTATTGTAATTCATGTTTAACGTTCAAACTATCAACTGCATGCAGTACTATGAACCGGTTGTAATCAGATGACTGTCTCATCAATTCCCCAAACAACAACCTTAAGCCACAAGAAGATTTGTCACTTATATGTGATGGCAGATGGAATTTAATAAATCCAAGTGCTATGTTCTTCGTATGTCCCACAAAAAACAATCTATAGGAACTTGTTACTACTTACAAGACACACCCCTAGAGATGTCAGCCAAACAGAAATATTTAGGAGTTGATTTGTCTAACAGTTTAGACTGGAGTCACCATATCAACTCAATCACCAGCACAGCAAATAAGACTTTTGGCTTACTGTGCCACAACCTGAAATCATGTTCACCCTATATCGAGAGCATTTCCTATAAGACCCTGGTAAGACCACTGCTTGAATACTGTAGCCCGATTTGGGATCCTTACGAGTAGGGTGACATCTTATCACTTGAGAAGGTACGACAACGAGCAGCTTCCTTTGTTAGTGAAACTACAGTAGAGAGTCAGGCATGATGAATATGATTGGTAACATCAGTTGGCAGTTGCTTGAGGAGCATAGGGTGATAGGATGTCTGACGCTTATGTACAAAATTGTCCACTGTCTTGTCAACTGTATCTCCACTTCACCCCTCCTGCCAAGTGGTTGTCAAACACATCATACTTCTGATCTGTCATACCTTGGATTTCAATCCAATTCCAACTGTTACTGATCCTCGTTTTTACCATGCACAATTCCTGAATGGAACTCTTTACCACTAACTTTGCACTGTGCAACCTCAACCCAGTCTTTTAAAAATGGCCTATCTATATAATTTAAACATTTCAAGGATTATTAGCACTAGCCACTATTACAACTTAGACCGCAAATCATACTTCTGTACCTTATATATCCTGCATGGGAGATTGATACGGTTATCAATTGAGATTTAGATTCAGAATGTAGTTAAGTTTGATGTATGACCCAGCAGTTGATCTTGGCTCATCTCATGAGACGTTTAACATCTGGTCCCACATTAGAGGAACTTCACGGCTTAACTGACAGACGACCAATAACGTCGCGACGTAATTGACCAATCAAATCAATAACCAGAGTATAATACCATCAACTGACGTGATACAACTCACTTTGACCCTGAAGATGCCTACCACACAGGTCGTCGAAACGTCAGTCACTGTCAACAACAGTCCTATTCAGGACTACGTTCACCCGGACAATCAAACTCAACCTACTTTTTAGGAACAATACTGTTTGACATAGCTTACTCTTTCATGTTTCTTTGGAATGCAATATCTTCCAGATTCAATTTTAAATCATTATTACCAATTATTTTATTAAACAGCCAAGTTACAGCTTTTCTGTGGTTCATGTGCTGTATTTTGTTCAAAATTCTGCTTTAATAGCACTATAGAAATACAGTTATTGCTAATAGCAATTTCTGTAATCCACATTGCTATGGGTAATTTGTATGATGATGTTTATGATCCTAATAATGGGCATGGTAGTTGTATTTGCTATATGTATTTCTTCATACTTGCATTGTACTTTACCGTTTTTTACAGGCTCTTTCATTTTCTTTCACCTCCAAGAACTTAAAACATGGCAGAAAACCCACAGTTTAATGGTATGTATGTCTGTTAATATGATGCAATAGTTTAAAGATTAGGTTATCAATTTAGCATTAGGCCTACCAACCCACTCTTAATGCATTGCAATTGTATCCCTTTTGTTCATGGTGGAAAACATATGGTGCGGATCATATGTATAGTTTTGTGGTTCTTCTTGTTCTTCTATTTGTCTCTGAGAATGATAACATTAATTTTCATTGACCTCACTGGAAGTTGATTTCGTCACCCATTTTCCATCAAATCATCAGTTTTTCAGGCAAAGTTGTTGCATCAAGAATTGTGTTGTGTGGTAACACTACTCGCAAGCGTAGCACAACCACAACGACCGAAATGCGCAAATTAAAAAAAGCAGCCACAGGCTTGAGCAAAACAAAAACTATAAATTTGTAGCACACTTTATGGCAGATTTCTTTGCTGTCATTGCACAACTAATGTGGGCAAACTTGATTGAAATGGCATTGCCATTATTGCTTTAATCTCTTAGATCATCGCTGCATAAATAGTGATGGTGTGATTTTGAATTTGTCAGAAATACCCACAGAGAGGCTCAAATGTACAAGAATTAATGAATAAAGAACAGTGTGTGCAATGCGAATACAGGACTGTAAGTCTATGCACGCATGGTAAAAGGTGTAACACATGTAGATGTGCTTTTACAGTCAGTCTAGTGGCACTAAAGAAATGTAAATCAGTTGCTGTTGTCGGGTTTAATGGAAAGAGTGCTCTAGAAGTGATTTGTTTGAAAACACTAAGATTTTTTTGTTTGAAAACACTAAGATTTTCTACATCATCTTAAGCATCAGTAGCCAGCGGGTACTGCTAGAGCATCGGCTTAGATTCTCCTTTCAAATTACTCATATTTGTTTAGGAAATGACTGGAAACTTTTTTACTGTGCTTTTTCAATAACACGCTAAAGTCTCTCTGAAATGTAAAACCCAGCTTACTTGCATGCATTTTGTTTTTCACTTCTGTAAAATCAATTAATATTACTTTAATCACAAGCAACAAATTTTGAAGCATCATCATCATCTACGGCTCATCCTAATGGATGTCACATCTTCGACTGCACAGCAGAAACAAAAGTTATCAGTCTCAGATTGTTGGCGGGGACTGGTTGTTTCACAAAGTAGGCTCTCAAGTCTTTCTTTCCTAGGAGGTATCTTTACAAGATAGGTAGCCCCAGCCAGTGTCCAAAGTAGAAGGATCCTATGCCTGGTGCCAGTTATGGGAGCCAACACTTTGGATTATGACATCAGGTGCCTCCTGAACAACATCCATCACCCACTCCCATGACTTCACATAACCCTGATCGGGGGGCTGACTGGGTACTACACCCTGCCCACAGATGAGCCATAGGCTAGCGGAGGGAAGGAGTCGCCTTACTTCTCCTGTTGGTAGGGGATACTCCTACCCCGCTACCCTGAACTTTGAAGCACAGTAACACAAAAAGGATCAAAGTCCACCAACCGCAAGTCACAGCCCATGACCTTTTGAACTCATACAAATTTCAGAATTCCTGTGTTTTTGAAAAGTGCAGTAAATTATTGTGTAAACATTTAATTGTCTGATAATTGCTCTCTTACATAAAGATGCCAAGCCTCCACCGTATGCACCTCCACCCTACCCTGGTCCTGGGGATCAAGCTTCTCAGCCCCAGTACCCACCTCCTGGTCAGGGATATGGATGGCAACAGCCACCACCCCCAGTTACTGAGGCTCCAGTGGGAGGAGCACCACAGGGAAAAACAGCATACCCACCTCAGCCTGGTTACCCTGGGGCACCTGTGCCCAACCCGTATCAGCAAGGCTACCAGGCATATCCTGGACAACCTGCTTATCCAGCTCAGCCAGGATACCAGCCGGGTTATCAGCCTGGGTATCAACCACCCCCAATGACAACTCAACATCAATCTGTAACTGTTGTGGTAAGAAGTAAAGCTACACTCTCATTAAGACTAGTTCATGTACATGTAAAGTGTATTTAGTGATTTCAATAGTACTTTGATTATTGATTTTGTGAACCCAAAAGGCATGTACCAAATTAGATAGCAAGAAGTATTTTTGTTCAGCATGCACTATTAAAATGGTGCAGGGATTTTAATTCAGATAATTTTTGTGAGGAGGTAAAGGTGTAATGGATCCTAGTTGATGTCATTTTTGTTTTTCTTCACTACTTTTACTCTACTGTATGTGTTTATGTGGTATGTGATTTTTCAGGGTAAATACATATAACACATTCAATATTTGATGGACATTTTACTCGTAAAATAGAGTTAACTAATTAGAGCGTACTTCAGCCATTGTTTCATTATGATTTACTTTGCCCTGGGTGGCAAATATGTTGCTATCGCACATAAAGAACATTGCGTGACTCAGCTCTGGTTCATGAGCTCCTTGTTTATCTTAGATTACATCAATAACTGACCTTCAGTTGTTTCTACAAAATTCGGTGATAACAATTTTTCATTGTTAGTAGCTGTAATCAATACTATGTTTTACTTATATCCATCAATGCTAGCTGTGTGCTCCTTTGTTTTGTTCACTTTGCGTGCACGCGTTGTATTTTCCAATAGTAGTTTACTACGCATTAGTTTCTGATTTTCCCTGCCACACCCGCCCTTCAATTCAATAAAGCTGGACTACTGGCTTGGGTGCACACCTGCTACTTTTACCTCCGCGTAGCAGGCCGGGTGGGGCCCCCACCCCACCTTAGTTTATTCACTCCTGGGTGGGGATGCGCTCCACTCGTTGCCTCGTCCGTTACCGTGCAGGGTGTGTCATTCCATTACGTATGTTACTAGGGTGTGTCGCTGCCACCCTTATTGCTCTACTCAGTTTTGGGTGTGTTGCTGCCACCCTTGTTTTACCCCAGGGTGCACCCAACAACCTTTAGTCCCATTTACTGCCAAAGACTGTGTATTTTATCTTGGACTACATAGTTAAGCGATTAAGTTGTTAACACAAATCAATAATTATTGGTGATTAATCATTTACTCCTTTCTTTCTGCACACAGTCTGGAGGACCCAGTGTTATCTTGGCTCCACAGATAGCACCACCAGACTATTGTGGCCTGTCTTGGTTTGCCTGTTTGTTTTGTTTCTGGCCAGTAGGAATTTGTGCCATTGTGAAATCTAATGAGGTAACAAATACTGATTCAGGAATTCTCATGCAAATTAATCAATGCAACGTACTGACTGCAGACTTCCATTGCTATTCTATAGTCTGGATCAAGTACAGTCACATGAATTTCAATTATATGACTTATTCATTAGTGTATTAGTACTAGAACTAAATGCCGTCCTATTATTTTGGAAAAGTGGAGGATTGGCTTGGTCTGGCAATTCCTATAGATAATTGTACACTTCGGTTCCCATATAGCAGTTTTCGTGGCTGCCGTATTGTTTATGGCAGTTACAGTGTTCTCCTTATCAGGTGGTAACTGGTAAAATTTACCGCTTGCAGGAACACTTATTACCACCTGCAACCGCTTAAGGGTTTCACTAAAATTGTACACGTTGTTTTAAAAAAAATACTCATATTATGATCTTCTTTCTTATATGGGCCATGCATTTATGGAAAGAGATCATTATTATTTTAAGATGGGATAAAATTATGGGAACCACACATTTAGAATTGTTATCTAAAGATTTAAACTATCAGTTTGAAGGTAAAAAGGTATTAACTGCCGACTTCATTTAATAAAAGATCTTTAAGCCCAGTGGCTCTTTAAAAAGTAAATAATTTTAAAATTTGTTGCAAGTTTTTAACCTCAGATCAGAAGGTGCATAACTTACAACAGTGGATTACCTCAAAATAGGTCTTAAAATAACAAAATGATATCGATGTTTCAGAGAAGTTAACTAAGATCCTACAAATTTCTCAGTGAGGTCGGGGCCTCATCCCTTACCCCACTTCCTTCCCAGGAAAGCATGCCTCTGGCGTATATTTTTTGTCTTACTGGTCAGGAATGGTCTCTTATCTGCTGAGCTAAAATTTAGGAAGAACACTGAGTTACCTCAGGCTGCATTACCTTGCGCATGTACACTGTATTATATAAATATAATATGTAAGTACTTTCCTTGACATAAAATATTAATTTGCTATTGAATGTGGCATTTTCTAGTGTTGTGTAAACTTTGCAAAATTTCTAAGGTGTTGAATAAGAGGCTGGGGTATTTTAGAAACAGAGTGGGTAAAAGAGATCCTATTTCTCTTCAAATGGGTATAATTCATTGAAATAAAACCTACTTTACATGTAAATGAGATAAATTATATGCTTTTGAATGAGGATAAGAAATTTATAAGAAATGTCTAAAATGTTCATTTTTTGCTATCTGGCAGCTGAAATCCTTTATTTAGTCACCAGCAAGAAGTGTAGCTTAATAATGAGGCAAACAGCATTGATTCTTTGCTTTTTTTTATAGACTCGACATGCCATTAACCGTGGAGACATGGTGACAGCCGGTCAATTGAGTTTGGAAACCAGACGATTGGCTAACATGTCAATTGGCATTGGAATTACTATGATCGTTGTCATTCTGATCATCCGCTTTGCACTCATGGCTGCTTTTAATTAACAGAGCCCAGACAGTTTTCTTTTGGCCATAGATAAGACAGCTAGAGTAGTTGTCCTGATTATTGTCCATTGTAGAAGTTACAATGTATTATTTTGTACATGTAGCTGAAGCATTTCCTGCAATGTTAGCATAGGTTAGGCTTGTTCTGAAAACTATTTCTCTTAACACAGGGATTGTACAGAGTCTTGAATTCTTAAAAAAGTCTGGATAACAGAGTGTTTTTTCAAAGCTACAACAATATTTTCTTGCTTTATAAGTAAATTTTTTATTGTTTTGGTCAAATCTTATTCAATCTTGACCTTGTACGATTGCAGTGCATCATGAAAAAAGCTTTGTTCTGCATTTTTTAAGGGCTATATTGATGACCCATTTGATAACCTTGAGAAATTCTTGTTTTGGAAAAAGGTTTGGAAAAAGTCTTGAATTTTGGATCCAAAAATCTGTACAAACCCTGTAAACACCCAGCCAGTTTTGACACTTTCTTTCCAGTCAGTCTAATGTGTTTTCTATATTGAAAAACATTTGTTACTATCCTTCTCTTATAAAGAATAATAATTATAGTGTAGGATTTTGGTTAGTATATTTAGCAGTAAATAGGTGAAAAGGAAATAAAATGTTTAGGTGTGTAGCAATTTGTTCTTTAAGGGGGCATTATCATACAATGTAGCTGTCAGTGACTCCTTTTTTTTTTTTTTTGCATGATAAGGAAGAAAGGCTTAAAATGGTAAAAGTAAAGCAATAGTAGCAAAAAAAGGAGGCAGATAAATGATTTCTTGGCTGCGCCACATCACAAAGTCAATGAAGATTTTTAATAGCTATAAATTGAGTCAATGTCAAGCCTTAAAATCCTGCACTTAAACACTGAAGAATTTGATCTGTTTTATGGAGCCTTTTAGGCAGAGTAAAGCAAATCAAGTAATTATGTGTAAAATGTTCCCTTAAATGTGTCATTAATTTATAAACATCGTAAGAAATTTTCGTGTTTTGTCCCCGGGTTGTTATCACTTAACTACTGTTCTGCCAGGCAGACATAATGTGTATCATATAGACAATTCTTGGTATTCAAGTGTGCCATTCACTGAAACAAAGAACTAGTCTACCTACTATCTATCTCGCAAAAGCCAGTGAACCCCCGGTGGGCAATTACATGTAACAAACGTAGTTCTAGTATGAACGTTCATATATTTGTATTTCTAACAGAGCTAGAATCACCCTTAGAAACATCAATACCCCTCCTCCCCCCCTTCCTCTCCTTCCTCCCAACAGGGCAAGTTATGGGAAATTCCTCACGGAGAGAGAAGGAGATGTCTTAACTAAGGAACAAAGTTATAGGAAGTATTAAAAGCAAAATTTTTAAAACAATAAACTACAGTAGTTTACTATTACTTGCTGTTTTCAGTGGTTGTATGCACTAGCTCATAAAGCTTGCTTTTTTATCTGTTCTTCAGGGTTTGTACAGAGTCTTAAATTCTTGAAAAAGTCTAGGAATTTGTCCAGCAATTTTCCAGACCTGGAAAAAGGCTGGAAAATAGAGGTTTGGAGAAAGGGTTTCTTTCTTTTTTTTTGAAAGAGAAGTGACTCACAAGTGAAATTTTTTTCTTGTTGGTCAAATCTTATCAAATCTCGCCTGCATGTCATGGAAAAAGCTTTGTTCCTGCATTTTTTTAAGGTCTCTATTGATCATCTATTTGATAACCTTGAGTCTGGAAAAAGTCTTGAATTTTGGATCAAAAATCTGTACAAACCCTGATTTGAAATGCAGCCAAAAATAATTACACTTTCTTCTGTTTTTCCAGGCTTCAAACTCCACAATCAATTTTATTTTTAATCAACAGAACTAAAAGCACCTGCCATTAGAAAAACCCTGGGCAAAGCAGGTGCATATCACATAAAAGAATGAAAAAAGGAACACATTTTCAGGACAAAAAGTATTAATTGCCCAAGACACTATTCTATAAAACAGGTATTACTTTCTTGTGATTCAATGGTGAACAAGAACCATAAGGGAAGCCAGATCCCCTCCTTCAATTAAGTGTCTCGAGCAACATGCTTTTCACAATATTAATCATGATAGAAATACCTGCAAACAGAAAAGGTAGATGGTAGAAAAAAGCCAACCCAAAACAGGAACTAAAATCAAGTTTCTAGTTTTGAAAATTTATTTATTTACAGAGCCTTGAGAAAAGTTTGAAATCTCGTTAAAAAATGATAATGCATCAATGTCCTCTCTACTGCATTTTGTACATTGTACAAGATCAAATAATCAGTCCCAATGGCCTTTCTTGTAATCTAGCTTCTAAGGAAAAAATGCCGAAAAATGTTCTAAAGAGAGCCTCAGGAAGCCTCCTTGGAGATGCTCTTTCTTCATCCATGGTGTTATTCTTTCTCATGGATCACTATGGCTGCCACAATTTAAGCTGTCCGTCTTCACTGTATGTTGATATAAGATTATTATGTGGGTGATGTACAACACCAATCACATCCTTGTCGTGAACCTAATGTAAATTGCCAGAAAAAAATACGAAAAAAGTTATAAGAACTTGCAGAACATAAACATTTGATTTGTCAGGAAAAGGGGAAAGACAAAAATAATTTGCACAAGTTTGATGCCTTTTTGAAACCAGCTAAAAGTAGGGCTTTTTGTCATACTCATTACCGTGCTCAATTGGATGAGTGCTAGTCTGCTGTGCAAACCTTGGCCAATACTTGGGCTCATGAAAAAACTGAAAAAGCTGTTCTTGGATAAGGAAGATAAACAGTAGGTCCCATCCCACAACCCTTGCCCAATTTAAAATCTGTAGAAGCCATGAATACACTTTCCTATAGAAAAGGGGGCATATATGGTTGGATCACATGTACAGTCATGTAGCTTGAAGTTAGGGCTTCTACGACAGAGCTGACATTAAGGGCCGTAACCCATCACACCTGTTACAGCTGAGTTCACTTGATGTTACAGGTAATCAAAGTGGACAGACAAAAATGACACTACATGTATCAATTTTTTTTTTTTTTCAATAAGTCAGGCTATTTGCTGGTTGCTGGACGCCTCAATCAGGACTGACTTAACAAAATAAATTGTGAATACCTGTAAGGATTGTTCTAGTTTTCCGGTCATGGTACTAAAACAATACACAACCATGTCCTCCCCTACACAGTAGATCCATTCTCCCCTGGGGGAGAGGGTGCAGCATACAAAGTCACCACCGTCTCTCTTACCACTGGTGAAGCTTCGCACAATCTAAACAACAAAATGACCAACGTCAAAACACATCTCCTTTTTTTTATTAAAGTTATCTTTTCGACAATGATGACTCAGTATGATTATCTATTCCTTGGCATTCAAAGATCACCTCCTTAACATAGCATCTTGAGTCCCAGCAGCCCAGCCAAACTCTTTATCAAATCAATCTCTACAGAATCACTAAGCACTTTTCACTTTGAAAAAACACATTTTATTTTTATATACATGTACAAGCTGAAAAGTACAGGAGACCAGCTAATGGCAACCGGGCCCTATCCATTGTAGCCTGCGAACAGCATACATATTTCCGGTCGTTGCTTCTCTCCCTCCGAGGAAGAGAAGTGACGACCAGAAATACATCTGCTGTTCGCAGGCTATATCCATTGTGACACAGTGTTCCAGCATACACGTAGTTAGTAGGGGAGACTGGTTATGAAAGCCAGCAAACATCAAAGTTGAAAAGAATGGTGCTGTAGTTAATGTTGGAAGCTGCCTGACCGTGCACAATCCTTTGGTTTTTGTTCACAGATTGTGACTGAATAAATTAACGTGATGTTTCTATTGGTCAGTAAGTTCAAAATGATAGGAATGTTATTGAACGTTGTGCACAGTCAGATCAAAAAAGCAAACAAACAAAAAAAAAGAGTCTAAAGAGTTTCATAACCATGCCACTTTAATAACTATGGTCCCAGGCAAGTTTCATTTGCTAGATACTACACAGTCATCTGAAATGTCAGGTATCTTTCTGCCCATTCATTATGTTCATGTACACTAGGTGTGGGCAGAGAGAGACTAGATGACCTGCTGGCAGCTGGCTCTCCTTTTAGGGGAGCCACAAGAAGTCACACCTAAGAAATGGAGAGCTTGTTAGCAGACTAAAGACTAGAGGCCTATGCTGTCTTAGCCAAAAAAGTGTCAACTTATTGATAAATCTAACCTGTCCCTGCATGTTCATGACAAGTACGGTGCTTGTTCTGTTACACACCACAAACTGTTCTGGGTTTCTTGGCATAACATGTACAGAGTTGACTGTGATGTCTGTTGCCACACTACCTACTGATGGCTTGAAAGTGTGAAGACATTCAGTTGTTTTGATATTCCAAAGCTGTAAATAAGACAAAAATTAACAAACAATAATTTTGTCAACCAGCCATACTTGACATTTTCTGTGTGCTCCTCAGAAAAACTTTCCCTTAGCAATCATATAACTATAACTTTGATTCCAGTGAGAAAATGCATAGCACACGCAAAATCCGAAATCAATAAGCAGGTTTCACTGATTGTCTAAAGAAACATATCATTTTGATACATGCATGTAAGACATTATAGGATGACAAAAGAAACTGCCAGGAAAGTGGATGTTTTTGGCATTATGTGATTTCAGCCAAAAAGTGGAAATCATTGGGAAAATTTTTAATGGTATGTTTCCTTGCCCCAAAACCGCCACAAGCCAAAATTTGGTTAGTTTTGTGCTGTTTTTGCACTGAGCACTTCATTTATATTATTATAAAGTTTTAATTTACCAACTGTGTTTACAAATGCACACATGTAATGTTGATTTTGGTTTTACAGTGGAGGTTTGAGTAATTATTGAGTAACATATTTGTACATCATGTACCTTAACTGTTCCATCACTACTAGCACTGATGATGTTATGAGCGTCCATTGTAAAAATAGCATCATTTACAAAAGATGTATGTCCTCGAAATTCCTTTAGTGTCTTCCCAGACTTAAGACCATGCATTCTGGAACAAAGAAAAAAGATCATGTAAGAATCAAACCTGAAGTTTGCAGCGTAACTACAATACATGAACATGAATGTTCCCCAAAAATTCAAAAACTGACAGTACATGTATGTTAATCAGACTGTACAATCTTGTACTGTTGAACCTCAACAAATTGATGGCTTCTCTCTAAAACACTACTTCTCCCATCTTTCAGGACTCAACATGGAAATCTTAGAGAAGTTCAACTGGATATTATTTTATTACAATTAACTCACTCAATACATAAATACAAGTAATTTAAAAGAGGTCAGTTCTTTTTTTGACATGATGTTGCAGATGACTCACATTACAGACAACTCACATAATTATGGTTGGCCATGAGTAAGCATGAAAAAAACAAAGTGTCACAAACTACCTTATTGTCATATCAAAGGAGCCACTCAAAAGCTGGCTGGCATCACGGGAGAATGTTACACATGTTACACCTTTTGCATGGGCTTTCTCGAACCGTCTCAAACACTGTCCAGTTTGTAACTTCCATACCTGTGACAACGTAATTTTACACATCATGTAAACGGTAGTGACTGCAGTTTTGGGATGTGCTCGCACCTGCTTGAAACCATGATTTGGTTAAAAAAGAGGCCAAGTCAGGATGTACATCTTAATTGTACATGTTGTTTATAAGTGAATGCATCAAAAAGAATTTCTCAACTGGCTTTGCTGCACCTGATTGTAATATGCGCCCTTGATAAGTGACATCGTAGAGCATTTTGCATACAGTCACATGTACGTCATGTAAAAGTTTTATATCCTCAATGGGATGCCCTACTATTAATTTATAAACACAGACAAAATACCGCACTACAATAGCAAAATTTTAGTTTGTTATCTTAATTTCTCCATGAACACTGCATCAAAACCATAAAGACTTACAAAGTCTCACAACTTTGTCTTGGAGTCTTGCAATTTCACAACCTATCTCAAAAATCCTTTTTTTAACTCCAAAGAGTTAAAATTGCCTTGTTCTTTATTATCCTTTTTGGGTCCAACAGTGGGTACAAACATTACTTGCAACAACTAAGAGGGTAAATTTCATTTCAACCCAGAAACAACATCACGTGACTAGTAAGAAGCTGAAAGCCTGTGAAATGAAAGTCACAATCTAGTGTTCTAAGTTGTTCTTCCTACACTGTAACTGCTGGAATATATCTTTTCTCTGTCTCTATGCTACATATAATTATCATAAAGTACGAAGGTGTATTTAAAGTACTTCTAGTGTGTTGTTTACATTTAATTTTATAATTTAATTAACAACTTCTATTCATGTTGTATAAGGGTTTGTGAATGACTAAATAAATAAATAAATAAAATAAAATAAAGACACTCTATACCAAAGTCATGTGTAAACAAACACGTGTTTTGTGACTCATGTACCTTTAACTTTCCATCCTGTCCTCCAGAAGCTAACATTTCACTGTCTCTACTAAATGCCAAACATAGAACAGAATCATCCATCATCATGAAATTATCTTGAGCTTGGTACTTAAGATCTTTTCTGATCTTCCCAGTTGTGAAATTCCACACTTCAATAAAACCATCTACACTTCCTGTGACTAGGTACTGGCCGTCAGGAGAAAACTTCACACATTCTGGGTGGGATTTGGCTCCAAACTGTGAAAAATAAAGAATTGTGTAAATTCTAAAAAAATGGTTTGGGGCACCATACACTGTATCCATTTACTGAGGATGACTGATAGGACAGCATTAACCCTTCAAGTCTCCATAGTGACCAACATCAATTTTCTCCTAACAATATCCATACAATGTCAAGAGATAAGGTTATGAGAATTAACAAAATGATCACGTAAGAGACAATGCTTTCATCTTTTATTAAATTCTCTCAACCCATCAATGAAGGAAATGTATAGAGATCAGTTTGGGATGTATAGAGATCAGGATTTGTATGTGGATATTGGGGCTAAAAGGGTTAAGCCAATAACATGCTGTTGTTGACATTGTGCAGCTGACAGTGAATAACAAAGTGCAACTTGACGTACAAAAATCTCACGAATTTTTTGTAGCTGTGTCTAAAAAGTCAATGCGAAAATGCCAATTATTAAAAAGGGGGAAAGTTGTTTAGGGTGACTTTATCAATTCTAAGAAGGATAAGGCTGGGAATCAGGAAAGTAAAAATAGTAGTACTTAATTACTACTGACAGTGTTCTGTTGGGAAAATAGGTCAGGAAGTAATAGGTGTAACACTAATCTTACTTTGATAGTTCTGTTAAGTTGTGTTGGATATCTCTCTTCTTCTTCATCCTTAACTGCCGCCTTACCACGAAAAACATCAATGGTTGTTCCAGGAGGGAGGAGACCTTGATACTGCTGCCATTTGAGTGCCTGACTCAGTAAGGCCAGTAAACGGGATGGAGGAACCACAGAGACCTCTCCTGAGAGAGCTGTTAGACAATGTAAAAGCATGTATACTCAGGACTCTGTTTACTGCTAATGCCTTTAAAACGTGACCCCACTAGTACCAGACACACATCAGCAGCTGGCTTACATTTTGCCACAATCTTTAACAATACACCTGTACTTTCACACACCTGTTGGTTTCTTTTTAAAACACATCTTTACTGCACTAACATGTTACTAATATAAAATATTGCCATGGAAAAGAATTCTGGTTACATACAATACACACTAGAGGTAAAAAGATCAAACACATACAAGATAGACAAATATATTTTTTGTACTATACAAAGATGTATGCTCCCTTGCATTGTAAATCAATTCAGTCCTTTTAAAAAAAGAGCCTAAAATAACATTACATTTTTCCAACAGTGAAAGTACTACAGTGTAGAAGCCAGCTTATGCAAATGAAAAAAAAAATTTGCATTGTGAAAAAACAACAATGATATCATTGTCACACTATAATTTATTCACGTTTCTAATATTACATAGTATTACAGTCATGTAAATTATTGTTAATGTTACTTATAATCACCTTGTGCAATGGCTGCCCTTCTGCGCTCTTTACTGCCACCTTCTGGATAGGCCTATAAGTTGAAATTATGATCACAAAATCATAAACAGCTACAGTGTCCATGACAAATTACATCATTAGATGTTTAATGCCCTGAGAAGAACTATGATCACTTTAAAGTACTTGCGGTGTTACTTCAATGACACATTTTAAGATGAATTTCATTTCCAAAGCATATTAATTCATTTTACTTGCCTCCCTGGGATCAAAGTATGAACGGGCCAGCATGTTCTCTAGATGGAGATATCGATCAGGTTGCTGCTGCTTCAACATGATCATCGGATCTGTTTGACGTAACAATGACCTTGCAGCTCCCAATTCACGCAGCTCAATCAACTCCAATACAATCTGATAAAAATTATGTGAAAGATGAAAGTACATGTAATATATTTTTCACAGTACAAGGTGATAACATCAGTGCAACAGACCCATGCAATCAGGGCAGTTGAATAATGAACCAGTTGAGAAAGGCTAAATTAGCCAGTATTCATGCGGCAGTCATTCTCATAAAGCATAGAAGGTCTTGTTACAATGCATTCCCCATACTAGCAATATATCACACTAAATGTACTTGTAAATAATATGTACATATAAGAGAGTACATGTATATGGGTAGTGGATCCAGGGGAGGGGTCCGGGGGACCCAGGACCCATGCCCGCCCCCCTTATTTTTAGACCAAACTGAGGCCTGACAGGAGACCCCCCCCCTTATCTTAGGGCCTGAATGACCGTCTCCCCCCTCCCCTTTATCTGAAGGTCTGGATTCCCCACTGTACGTGTTACGGGTCAAAATTAAATTTGGGTTAAAATTCTTTCACCTTGGTTGATTCTCAATTTCCTTTATCTCCTAGCCCTAATTCATCTGTAACACATATGCAACTGACTGATTTGAGTGGAGTAAAAATTACAGTAGAACCCCAGTAACTCAAACTCTGAAGGGAAACGAAAAACAGTTCGAGTAAGTGGGGAATTCTATTTATCGGGCACATTTCAGTGAAATTGTGATCAAAGGAAAGGAAATTTAGTTCGAGTTAGCAAGGAATTCAAGTCATCCGAGTTCAAGTTATCAAGGTTCTATTGTAGTAGAAATAAATACAAGTAATAATGCACAATATCTGTGCAGGTTGTCATTAATATTATAACTCCTTTTCATTGCACTTTAGAAAAAGGCTTTCCATTGAGGAAAAAATCATAAAGAAGCCATATATACCTGTTCATACAAGTCAATAAGTTTCTTGTCTGGTAATTTAAGAGGTTGAATAGCTTGTAACACTGTGTCCCAGTGTCCATTGTTAATTTCTCCAATAAAGCTTTCCACGCTATCAACAGTATTCAAGGTGATTCCTGTTTCTTCCTGTGATAAAAATACATAAATTTTTTTGGTAAGGAAGCAATAATGTGAGGGTCAAAAACAAAACCATACCCATCATGGGCTGTAGGGTCATTAAAAACTCTTTAAGAAAGAGGAGGTCTGAAAAGCAAAACTTTTTTAAAAGAATTACTGTGTATGAACTTAAACTGGAATTATTTGTAGAGATGTCCCAAGGGAGAGGTTTCACTGTTACTGCGTTAGGGCAGTAAAATAATACATGTACAGGGTTGCCACTCATCAGAAAGTCAAAAATTCCCAGACTTTTCCCGGACTTTTCACTAAAATTTAAACAGTTTTCAACCACCTTTTATTAATGAGAAACAATACTTGTTTACCTTCCCTTAAGCTTTTTTGCAGGCCATTGATAGTTTTCTCTTCACTTTCAACCTCTTTCGGTTTTTCACAGAAAGAGGAAGAAGGAATTTGGAAGAAAGCATTCACAACAAAAACCACTGACCACAACTACTACATGTGTCAGACGTAGAGTGTCAAACTGATCACTTTGCTTGCTTTGCAGAATATTTTTAGTCTTTTCCAAAAGAAAATGCATTTCAAAATAGTGATGAAAACTTATGAACTATAAACGGGAAAACAGAATTCCCTGACTTTTCACTGACTCTGACAATATCAAAGATTTTCTCTCCCTTTTTAGAAAATTCTCTAAAAATTTTCCCTGACCATGGAAGCCCTGATGTAGTTCACAAACCCAAGCAGAGAAAAATGCACCAGAACAATACTTTGAGAGAAAGGAAACACACAACAACAAGACTTTGAGACTCACAAATGCTTCTAAGATATTTCGAGTGGCATCAAAATTTTCTGAGACCCAAAATTTTCTCAGCAGCATTCATCAACGTTTGCTTGCATTCCCTTGTACAAGTATAACAATTTTAAACATCTGTGTATTCTCTACCTGCAGAGTTGCAAGAGTTCTTGGTAGACTGTTTTCTTTCAGAAATTGTTGGATAAGTCGGATTACACTGAAAGAAAACAAAACAAGAGTCAACAAGGCAGAAATTCACGCACATAATCAATCAATCAATCAATGACTTTATTTTACTAGCATAAAACATGCTAATATCACAGAATGTGAATCATACATCTAACGCAAATATTGCTGATTTCTATCTTGCCTAACAAGAACATATTCATAAGACGTTCACTTTACTACTACCTAACTTGTTGAATTAAAAGAGGTTAAGTTAAATAATGTTGAATACATGTGTGTTGCTTTGTTCAATAGCGTCTTCAAACTATCTCTGCATTCACTTTTGGAAGACACGTGCTGCCTCTATGATGATCTCATGAAATAAATCGCTCTCTCAAAACAGGTTTTAACCACTAGATATTTACAAGAATATCATTAAGTCTGCATTAAATAAGTAGTAGAGCAATGAATACTTCCTTTGCTCCCCAAAAACAAGGATTCACACTTACTCTGCAGATTCAACTTCGAGCGCCATCTTGAAACAACCGAGTGCAAGGAATTCTGGGTCTTGTGACAAAGCTTACTGTGGGAGTAGGGCTAGGGACAAAACGAACATTGCAACTGCCTTGAGAGACACTCTCTTTAATTTGTACCAAAATTATTCTAAGACATCATTCATTCTTTTCACTTTTTCAAATAATTTATATTTTCTGGATAAACATTATTACTCACCTTGAGTGACTAGTGATCATAACCATTAAGATACACCACCCCTACTAAAGTGATTTCTGGCTCGTACCCAGAGCCAGCGCGGATGATAAGAACCCTTGTTCAAAATGGCGTCTTCTGCCACACGAGGTCGTGGTATTGGAAGAGGTAGAGGCTTAACCGCTTTGGTGTCCCCAAAACTCAATCGAAACCGGGAGAAACCACATATGTGCAGCAAAATTCTTCTCAGAGCAAATCAACACAAGAGATTGATCTTAAAAGATTGCTAAGTGATCTGAAAGAAGAATCTTTGGACGACAAAGTTGATAAATTATCGAGCTACATTTGCTCCTCTGATTCTGCCGGTGACCATTCTGCCTCGAAAATCACACAAGTTGTGGACAGTTTGATCCAACGAAGCATGAAGGACAGTGAATTTTCACCGTTAGCTGCTAAAGTCGCCAACAAGCTTTGCTCTGATGAGACAAACGGGAACACATTTAGAAGTGCCCTATTGAAAGCTACTCAAGAGAATTACAAAAACAGGGAGAGTATTCGTGGAAAATCAGTTAGCGAATGGATGGGACTTGTTAGCTTAATATGTGAACTTTTCAATCATCTGCGTACCGGTGGTCTTCCACTGAAACCTTTAGCAGGAGCAGTGTACCAAACCTTGGTTGAACTGCTAAGAGTTGAAGAAGCCATTGTTAGCCAGAATAAAGACGAAGAAGAAGACGAAATAGACTGTTTCTATTTGAATTTTAAGACTGTCCTACTTAAATGAGCATGATCTTTTTCCTTCATTGCAATCAGCCTATCGACGGCACCAGGAAAGCTCTTGAAAAGTGTCGACCAGGTGATTATCATTATTTATTTATTTATTTTTATTTATAGTTTTTAATCTTGAAAAGTGTCGACCAGGTGAGTTGCAGCAATGAACAGCAGTACAAACTAACACCCTTCCCCTTCTGAAAATACCGGTAGGAGATTTTTTAAGAGATCAAATGGACTGATGACCACCTCGTCAGAAACTGTGTTAGGGAAAAATGAAGAACAGTTCCCCCAAAATTCTGTCAGGCATCTGTCAGTAGACTGCTGACCAACATTCAGCCAACAGATGAGTGACAGTTGGGCAACAGACAAACCAACAGAACTGCACAACTGCCCATGAGAGATAAAATGGAATTAAACGCTGTATGTGCTTCCAAAATAGAGGTAGAAAGTCCTCTGTGAGATGTTGAAACCCACTTGGCCTGCCATTTATAAAAAGAGAATGCCTGGGTGTGAAAGCATCAAGGCTACAGATCAAGTTGCTGTCTTGGATTTAAAAGAATAAGTTGTTTTGGTGGCAAAGTAAAACTAAGTAGTTTGGTTTTGTTAACTGAGTTGAGATAATTTGCTTGCCATAAAGAGATTAAAGGGGTGATGGCTTGAGCAAAACCCTTTTTTCAGTACAATTCCATGGGACCCTTTCCTGCTAGCACTCAAATCTTCTGCCTTTAAATCTTTTCACAGTGCACAAGCCTTATAAATTCAGTTCATTGTAACAGAAGTTTTGAGTTATTGTTTAGAGATTTCTACAGTCAGACAGGAATGTGTAACTTTAAAATCTTTCTAAATAATTTTAGACTTCTCACATGATATGTTATGGGTCATTGTTAACAATACAAATATACATCAGCGTGTCCTTAGCCTGATTCGTAACTAGTTATTACAAGTGACTGATACATAGTACACTGAACAGGCAAGCACACAGTATTATCCTAATTTATTGCTGTTCCTTCTTAATTTTACTTACAGGCGAAGTTTGATGACCTTGTTGGAGGAATAAGAGACACGATTCTTGCTGACAATACAACTGGCAAAACAAGGTGTCTGCTACTAGAGCTTCTTGAACTTTATGCACGTGACTGGAATATCAGCACTGATTTGGAGCGTTACTATTGTGATATGTTAGCTGACATCATGGCCAAAGATACCTAGCTGCAGGCATTTTTTTATTGTGATTGATATTTTTAAGTTTATACCTACTTGATAGGGAAATTGTACACATTTTTTTTTTTTTTCAAGAAAGTGCTTGTCGGTGAGACTTAAATTTCACAATAATTGTAGAGTATGCATATTTCATGAAACTGAAAATTTTAGTGCTGGGAAAGGTTTGAACCTAAAGGTCATTTTGTAAGGAGGTTGAGGATGATCGTCCGGGTGAATGTAGTCCTGAATAGGACTGTTGTTGTTGACAGTGACTGACGTTTCGACAACCTGTGTGGTAGTCATCTTCAGAGTGAAAGTGAGTTGTATCATGTCAGTTGAGTGGTATCACGTCAGTTGTATTAATATTTTAATACAAAAAAAAAAAGAAAAAAAAAGGTGTGAACCCAGGAGTCTTGTCATAAATAAGTAGAATATGACCACTGCTATTTCCACAACCAATAATTTGCAGTAGTCATCTTCAGAGTCAAAGATTAAGTTGACTACCGTGCATGCAGTCAAAACATCAGGTCCTACACCTACCTGGACAAGAATTCATATTCCACTTACTAAACTTTTAATCTTTAACAAACAGTGTTTAACAAACCACATCAAACAATCATATCTGAACATCATTTAATGTAAACATCATGAAACTGTAAGGAAAAACATTAACTATGGTAGGGGACACCTTATTGACCTTGACTATATAATGATAATAAATAATAATAATAATAACTAAACTTAATAATATTATTATTAAGTTTTAGTCTTAGTATTTATTTAATTACATTTTCAGTCCTTTTATATTAAATTTGTACTTATTTCTTTTGGCCATTGTGGTTTTGACAATTGAATGTATGGAATTCCAATCTACATGTGATTCCAAACCAGTTATTAAACCAATTATTATTTTGTTTTCAAAATTGACTTTAATGATGTGCAAGACATCAAGTCAACACTATGTCCTGAAAGCCAGGCTCTCGCTCAGTAAAGACAAACGAAAAAATCAAGTGAGCAGCGAAAACGGCGGGAAAAGAGAAGGGGAGAGCCTGTAAGCTTCTTTATTTTTCAACATATCAGTCACCCGCGTCCAGAAAAACCGTTTCTCAAGTTTCTCAAGTCAAAATGTGCAGTATAGGAGGCTTTCACATGCTCGCCATGTTCTGTGCCTGCGAAAACCTTGTAAGAGTACGGCATACCGGTGTCGTTTCTGAAATTCGGCCTTAAGGCAAGTTATGGGAAAAATTATTTGCTTAAACCAGAATTTGTTGAAGAATTTTATTCTCTAGCAAGCATTTTTACCTCGAAAAATCTATCCGATATTATACCTGCCAACTCTCACGCCTTAGGCGTGAGTCTCACGCCTGCGGGTTGAAAACTTCGATCTCACGCCCGCTGACGCCTGCGGACCAATTTCTTACGCCTGATTGAAAAATGTGAGTTGTTGCCGTCTTGCTTGACACAATTTCCAAAAATATGTTAACTCAGACCCATGTAAGGAACGAAAACCATTTGTAAAATGAATAAATGACAATACCTTCCTCGCGATCTCTGATTTTGTGGATAAGCGTTTTCTCGATAACTTCGCCTTCGGCAGACTTCTGACGTCTTCGGAAGACTTCGGACTTCTTCGGGAATCTTCGGAAATGATCGTGTCGTTTTCAAAAATCCCAGCTCTTCCAGGATAAAAATCTCATGCCTACATCTCAGAAAACGTTGGCAGGTATACGATATATGTTGCTCCACTCTTCCAGAGCGGCACGGCACAGCTTCGCTCCGTGGTTAAATGCAGAAACAGCGTCAAAATCACCGTTCTCATAATTTTTCGTCGGGTTGCGCTGATTTTTAAATTTTAACTGTAGGCTCTTAGCCACTGAAAAGACTATACACCAGATAATGAGCACAATGTATAATAATGTATTATAATAATTGTTTGTTATATCCCGCGCCAAGTGAGCGTAGAGGACATGGAACAGGCTTCTATGACGTCAAACACAGTTCATGAGAACTGCGGTGCATGTTGAATATGTCATCATAAACGGTTCTCTCGAAATAAGAACTGTAACCGGTATAGTGATCGGTAGCTCTTTCAACAACAACCAAAAACTTTAAAAAACACTTTAGGTCAAAAACTCTTATTTTGCAAATTTATTCAACTAGTCATCGGCTGGAGTAAAGTTCAGTTTTTTCTGCAGTTTCTTAGTTATCGGTGCCTGTTATCTTGGTCTGCCTGCGCCACAAAGCAACGTAATGACAAGCGTGACGTTGTTTGACTTCACCTTCCGTTCACGTGCCGCTCTTCTTCGTCTTCATACGGATCATTACCATGCACTATAACTGGAGGAAAAGGAAATGAAATTTGCAGTACCCCTGGGCTAAAAAATATTGGATGTTTTGCATGGTTTTGCCTAAGTGATGTTGATGTCTTCTTGCGAGCGTTACTTGTTTCCTTCATGCAAGTTTTCATCGCTTTTGTGACGCAAGAAAAGCTATGCCCTTCCAAGAAAACAGAGCCAATCAAGTGATTTGTACAGGAATCTCGCAGATCATCTTAGGCTGCTCCGTTTTCGCTTTGTGCTTTATACTCAGCGACAGAAGGAGTGATGACTTCGGAGAAATCTTTCAAACAGGTGCCGCTTATTGGGGTGCAATACCGGTAAGAACATAATTGATCTTCAGTGTTCAACTGTCTGGGGGTTTCGAAAAGAAAAAAGTATTTTCCAATGTGAATCTTAGTTTCTACGGTAGTGAAGCGTGTTTTGATTTCTTTTTATAAAACAAATTAAAAGACTTCTTTGTTTCTGTTGTGATTACAGCTACCTTAAATGATATTTACTTTTAACGTATGACCACGGCTTACACTAATTTGATCCTTGTTACACTTCATCTAAGGGTTTTTTTCAGTTTTGACCTCTGATATTAAAATTCTTAGTCTGTTTTCGTATTACGGAGCACAAGACAAATCACATGCACTTTCCAATTAACCAACACTGAGCCTGCAGTTTTAAATTTCTCTGCAACTTCAGTAACAGATGTTTTTGCGTTCATCCTTTATTCTAGCGTATCTGTCTCTTCACAGAGAAAACTCTATTTTAGTTCTACTATAAGGTGACTGGTTTTTTTTGTTTTTTTAACTTAACTTCCGTCGACCAAAACGTAACTTTGTTTTACAGCCCCATCCGTGCTCGGAAGCTATATTTTCTTATAGAGATCGATTAATAACTAGGGCATGTTACCCAATGCCTTGTTCTTTTCATGTGACCAAATCCAATGTTAATCTATAACTCTAAACAATAACTACTGAATAAACCAAGACTTAATTTATCAATCTGACTTTTGAACTAGCTGTTGTATTATTTCAGTAGAAAAAAATGTATTCATAGCTAATCATGGCAACGAAAATTTTAAAGACTTTCCGGCAACACAAGTTTGAATTTCTTTGTTGTGATTCCCTGGAGAAAACCCTTTTTTTTAATAAATCCACCTGTTTAGTGTCATTGTTTTTCAGGCAGTCGCTTTAAATGTCGACTTTTATTTCACTATCTTTGTGCATAGCTCGTTATTTCATCCTTTTGGCAATAAAAAACTCAAGATCGGCAGGTGTAATGAAAAACATGTTTTGCATATTAACACTGAAATTTCAATTGAAATCGCACGGCGTGAAACGAAACATGGACGAGAGCAAACACTTCACTGTGTTCAACAAACACATTAGTGTTTTATTCATCGTTAATAGCTCTTTCTGAATAAATTACAACTTCTTTTATTTCAATGGTGTAACTGTTTCCTTCGTTGCCACGTTTCCTTCGTAGCTTTGCCGATTTCAATTTATTGCAAATTAAGTTTTCTGTTTCTCCATTTGTTTCTTCGCCCACGTTAGCTATAGCTGGATATAATAAAAGATTTAAAGCAATACCTGACAGCAATTATTCCTTAAAAGGAAAATGAATTCTAAGTGGGCTGGCTAATATTTGTTAGTGCAATCTCCCATGTCGCGCTGAACTAAACTGATCTTAATTAAAATACTAGTTTATTAGCTGAGGACATGAAAAAAACCTGTCGGCGGGGTTCATGAGGCGGAACACTTCGCCGAGTTTTTATCGGGAAGCCACCAAACCAGCAGCCATGAGTAAGCGTATATAATTTAATGCCTTATAAATTATCATGTGGTGGGCCAGAATTAGCATTAAAATTATTACAGAGTACATACAGCAGGTATTAAGTGCTTTGGTTCAACTTTATCATCAAAATACTCTTACACGGTGACAAAATTGGTGAAAATATTGCACATAGCAATGAACTGAGTTATTGCGATGACAGTTGATCGCAGGCGTGTAATGTTGTACGTAGGCTACGTGGAAATTTTGTATTTGGGAATCTAGAGGGCGTGTAATAACAGACTATCGTTAACTGAGGAGTCTGTAATGCGTGTGGTATCCGCAAAGACGTTTTCAGCACTTTGTATATCTCCAGACCGGAATGCTTGGGCTTCCTGTGATCAGAAGGAAACGTGAAAAAAATGAAACGGCCAAAAACAATTCACAGAAAAATATACTCATCATTTCCAACATCTACAGGTATAATTTTATGAACAATATGGCGTAATATGGCGTCATTAATACTTTATCAGGTCAGTTGTCACTAAATTTCAATTACTGGACAAGTTTGGGTTATTCTCATGAAATAATAAGTTACCATAGCAACGATATAACACGTGTATAACACCAAAACATAGGAGACGTTTGTCGAACCACGAATTGAACAGCCGGTAGTTTTTAAAATTAACATCATAAAATGCAACGTTTGCGGAAAGTAGCGACCTTCACCATTGCGGATTATGCATTTTTGTGCCATTATACCCACGACTGTAAGGATAGCATTCAAACACCAAAGAAGGGGTTGAAAAAATGTTGAAACATCTTGAAACTGATTTATTGTGTTCCGTGATTAATTTCTTTCTTCTCAGATCGTTATAACTGGATTTTTTGGAGTAGCAGGAGGGTGTACAGGCAAATTTACAGTGGTAAGAAAATTTAATATGATGAAGCTAGGTTGCCGGCAGATACCAAGGTTTTTTGTCTTCAGGTGTAATTTCATAAGCACTTGTCATTTGAAGAGTCTAGACTGACACATTTGGAAAATCTATCTATACTGTACATCATGAATTCTAATATATCAAAGTATCTCATTTATTTCTTTTTGGATCTCTGACCAGACATGTCTTTTCCTGGCTGCTGCCGTAATTTCCTGTTTTCTTGGAGGAATCCTCGCAGCATTTTTGGGAGTGGCGTTAACAGCAAGGAGATCTGTTGGAGAATGTGAAAACGGTGAGTGAATAGAGCACGTGGCAGACCACGTCGAAAGGGGTGGGGGGAAAGGACAAAGGAGGGGGCATTCGCCACTCCCTCCTCCTCCCTTTCCCCTTTTTGCGCAAGCTACGCAGGGTAGGGAGTGCATAGTGCGTATGCTCTCCACGCTCGTCTACATTTGTTTCGTGCGGGCGGGGGGGGCTGGTTTCGTGTGATACTTGAACACAATTGAACACAGCGATCGGACCTTGTTTTTCAAGTCAAAGGATTTGTCATTGGCGATATTACTTTCAATAGTCCTAGTCTCCCTGCCTGGTTATTTTATAGTTTCCCAGTAATCTTGTACTATAGAAAACGTAAGCTTTTTAAGACCAAACTGTCTAAAGCAGAAAAAACGATTTTATGTATCGACCGAGAAGATGCCTTCATATCGCAACTCTTAATGCTGGTTATGAGACCTGAATTATCTTGCGATCAACTCGTAACACATGTACAGCGGCACGTAATAATTTTCTTGTCTTCTTCTTTTTCTTCTTCTTGTTTTCACTTAGTGTATTGTCCTTATGATACAGAATCAATTCTCATGATCGCATTGATCAGTGTGTTGATCCTTCAAGCTGCTATTGCTCTGTCGGGTGTAATAGAGTCTTCACAGTTACTTTGCTGCACCGTTGAAGTAAGTGTGAGAGTGTATTAATTTATTTATGCGTATTTATAATGATAATAGAATTTGGCGCTTAAAAACTTTGAGCCGTTACACTTGGTGAGGTAAAAACTTTAAATTTCATTTTTACTAAGATAATTTTCGACATTTTCCCTTCTGTTCGTGACAAAGGCCCTTAAGAAAAAACCATACCGTCCACTCTCTCTAAAAAGGTAAAATGCTTTTGAAGGTGAATTTCTAGAGATGAAGGAGCTTGAGCTGGAGTATTAAAAGAGTTTGCTTTTCTAGGAACAGAACCGTTAATTAGCCACACACTGATGATACTTGAAGCAAAATAACAACGAAACACAAACTTATTAGCTGTGGGTGTGTTAGAAATGTCCATTGCAAAGATTCGACCTCTAGCAGGCCAATATTAGGATATCTCAGCGTGCAAAGAGAGTCGCGTCCGGTCGCCTGGGGCTACTGGATTTTGCTAGCGGACTAGAAATATATGTTCTTACCTTGCCCGATGGGCAAGTGCTGTTTTTTGGGGGAAATTCAAATTACAGAAGGACTGTAATCAATCCTGCTAATCAAAAAGGGTTTTGGACCAGTTGAAATGACTTGTGGGCTAGTACATAGCTACCGTTTGCCCGAATGGCAGGCTGTAAGACTGACTTTCTTTGCACCCTGAATTTTCACACTGGATAATCGGATTGCTTTTCGTGCTGATGCTAAAAAGTGATCGGGTATATTGTGTTAACACCTATCCGATATGTGACTCTCTACTTTGGAGATCAACGCGGCGCATCTTCGCTCCGTTACAGAAATCGCCCCCAATTCATGTGTGAACAGAAACCTGGTATGGGTTTCGTGCCGGTGCAAAAGCTATAGTCATGGTATGGCATTGTGAAACATAGCCTTTTGAGGAATAATGAAATATTAAAACATTTAATTATGCAATACTTTCCCTATCTCTAGTTAGCTAGCTTTGATTGGCTACAGACACACCGCTACTTCTAAACTGGCACTTGTTTCATGTTTCACTCTTACAGACAACATTTTTTTTACATGCAAAACTGACGTCGTTTATACAAAAATTAAAATTTGCCCTTACAAAAGTGACGTCATTTTCCTGTTCCAGTTTTTCGCATGAAGCCACTTGTTAAAACACAAGCTGCCAACAGTTGGAGCAACAACTTTTGCCATTTTAAACATCTTTGAAAAGTACTTTTCAAAACCAGAGGGCTTTAATAGTCAATGCTCTTGGTTTATGGCCATCTCAGTTTTAAAAGGAATAACATACAAACTGCGGTTACAAACATCAGAAATAACAAACGCACTGTATAACTGACTTTTATAATATCGAACTTGTCGTTTGGTATGCTTCAACGTACATCCTCAGAAGTGACCGTTAACACGAGTAGTAACTAAATTTAAACTTTAAAAAAGTAAGATAAGTAAGTAATTAACGTGAAGGAAGTCAAGGTAGTCAAGTTTTGTTGGCAAATGTGCGATGGGACTGGAACTTTAAGAGCGTACAAAAGTTGACAAAAGCTAAGCTAAGGTTGAACGCTTTGAAAGGTTGTGAGCAAATTGATGAGTCGTTTAGCTCATTCTTCCTAGTTAGCTGTCTCTGTTTTCTAGTAAACTTAAGCTCGTTTATGTAACTGAAAAAACTCATTGTATTCGGTTACCAAAGATAACGAGAATTATCAAGACTCGGTTTGTGTGGTTATCTGCTTCAGTCTTGCAATAACAACCGCAGCATTGATAATTCTTGTTATTATTCTCAACCTCATCTAATTATTGTCAGTCTGTAGTGGGTTAGTTAATCGCCACATGATGGTAGAAAAGTTAGAACCCCTCTTTCAAAGGAGCCGACTGACCTGATGATCTGTGTTACGGCAGAAGCTTGGGGGTTGGTGGTAAGGAAAGTTTACCTGCTGATTCGGATTCCTGGAGCACGAAACTGAACTGAATTAGCCTGCGCAAACTAGGCATTTTCTCCTTGTATGAGGCTTGTAGGAAAACAAATTATTTTTTTTAAGACCAAAATCTCTCTTTTTCAGGAGGATCACGTGTCCGTTGTGTCAATCGGGAATTCAGCGCGGGATCAAAGGAAACAGAGACTTAAATCTGAGCGAGTTACTCAGAAACTTAAAAAAGATGGATTCTTTGCTGCAAGCTACGATACTTCGTTTGATGATGCATCAACTCGATTCTATGGTTTTAGGAACGGGAAAAAGAGCTACCGGATGTGTGAACTAGGAACAACAGTCTGAACAACAGAAATGGAGTGTCCTGACTTTTCACTGTTAACTGAGCTACTCTCTTTGAAAATTGATGTTTTGTTCGTTTTTATTTCGTAAACTATAAGTCGTTCATTCAGTAATGCAAGGTATTCTTAAAGACTCGCTGAACTCTTTACTGTTATCAATTACTCTTATCACATTAGATCGCCCTATGTAAAAGGAATTTAAATAATATTAGATTCTGGATTCCACGTCGTGGATTCCGTATTCCAGGTGCGGAATTCCGAACTCAAGCATATTAATTCTTTGTCAGTGTGGGACTCTGGATCTAATCGTTAATGGAATTATGGAATCCTAATCTCGTACCCAGATCTCACTCTGTTTTACACTGGCCGTGGGAGATCTGGGTACGAGATTAATGGAATCCTTGAGCTGTATTTCAGATTCCAAAGCCCAGGATTTCGGATTCCACGGGCAAAAATTCCCGGAGTTTGGATTCCAGAAACAAAATTTCCAAAAAAAGAAAAAGACAAAATTTTTCAACATAAAGTAAAAGTCCAACATAGAAACTGGGTTTTCATTTTATTCCCGGTTCAATTTTTAAAATACGCCTTTAAATTGTCTTTGTGAATGTTGAGTTTGACAATGACTGTCAATCAAGATGTAACAAAAATTGTCCAAACAATTCAAAAAATGTAAATATTTAGTCACGGTATACGGCCATAAAAGTATCTTCTTCATAAACGTATCTTCTCATACGGCAAAGTAACGTACTTTACAAAGGTGAATCTTGTACAATAATTTGTATTCACGGCAAATCCTTATCCAGTCCGAAAACTGTTAGGTTTGAAAAAATGTAAAACCCATTTTAAATAAGGTAATAATAATAAGATTTAGATGAAACAACTTTAACAAATTCTCTTCCACTTGTACACCGCTTTATACTCAATTAAAGACATTGTTTCTCCTAAACAAAAAACTACACTAGAATGGCCTCTAAATCTGACAACCTACATAATTTAGATTTTCGGGCTGAATCTCCACAAACACTGCCTCACAATGATAACGATAATTTTTTATTATTAAGACAATTTTAATATACTTTTATTGCTTAAGTTTTGGTTAGCTTTTATGCACAACCCCATAAGCGGCAACACTTTAATCAACATCCATGTTGAAATAAAAGTTATTGTATTGTATTTTAACTAGAATGTCTTGTAATTTGCGCGGATGCATCTATATGTACTGTTAACAGCCTGTAGCTAATACTACTCTGAGTTTATCGTGACGGGTTAGTCGCGCGGCGACGCCTCGATTGCAAATGCTTTAATTATAAAATTTGTTCTTGACCTAAATTTCCTTCGCTTCTGGTGTGGCCAAACAACCTGCTACAGAACCGTCACTCACCACTCTTAGGTGCCCGATCATGACTAGGTACTTGATTTCTAAGAGGGTGATTTCTAGGTAAGTAGGGGTAGTGGGGCGTCTGGCGTCGGGACATATCTGTGCAAAAAGACTGCTGGTCTTTCACAATCTGTTTGCCATCCTGATGTAGAGGTTTAGTTTGCTGGTCAACAGTCGTGGGGTTGTAGTATCTGGATATCTGATTTGATTGATTGCTTATTGGGTACTGCCTGTGAGGAGCTTGGCTTCTTCGTTTCTCATCGCTTGAAACTTGGTAGCTGGTCGATTGGTTGTTAGCTATCTGTTTACTACGGCGATGATTGGTAGGTGGTTGTAGCAGCTTCCTGGCGTTTTGGTTTTGAGATGGCTGGCTACTACACAGATGGCTAATTGGAACAGAGGTTGGTAGAACTTTAGGCATTTGGACATTAGAAGGCTGGATACTAACTCCATGATTTCTTGACACATAATTTTCGCTGTCGTGGTTATTAAAAGTCTGGTTATTAGCCGTGTTATTGCAGAGCTCCTGGTTTGTACGTGGCTTGTATCTAGATACCTGCTTCTCCGCCAGGTGGTTAGAGGGTTTGTGTTTTCCTCGTTCTTTATTTGTTCGTCGTTGGTTTCTAGGTAGCTGGTTAATTTGTGCCTCATCGTTAGATGACTGATTCCTTTGTGGTTCATAGCCTTGTAAGCTGTCTCGGCCTACAAGGTGGTCTCTTCTGGCCACGTGACTAGAAGGCGGCTGGCTGCAAGACCCCTGTTTTCCAAATTTTGCCTCACCATTGCTTAGTTGCTTTTGAAGTCCATGGTTTCCAGGAATTGCGTTGCCACTAACTTGAAAACTTGGCCATTGGCCGTTTTCGCCGTGTGACTGACTATCAGGCACAAGTCTTGAAGATTCCCTGTAACTGGATGGAGGTGATGAGTTATTACAGTTGTTATTGTCATACTGCTTGATCAAGAGCTTGCCTTTGTTTTTCGATTCGGTAGTAGCTTCTGAGTCTATGGTTGGAGATGAGAGGCGTCCCTCCATTTTGCTCATAGTTGAGTCTTGGTCTCCATGCTGATCTAAGGTTGAAGTGTCTTCTCCCTTTCAAATAATAAGAGAAGGTTTAATAATGCCGTAGATAACAGTTTGCTATCGTATTAGTGATATTTCAGCTAACGAAGACAATAAGTAAGGAGGATCAGGAAAACTTAACATCTTCAGTGTCATGGTTTAAAGCATATGTTCGTAATTTACCAAAGCAAAATGACCGACCGAACAGCCAATGCCAGGGTTAACTAACAAAAACAACAATTGTTTCCTTCACAATGAATAATATCGCTCAATAAAGGGACTCCAAGACAGTCTTAGATTGTGGACTCCACGCCGTGAATCCCGGATTCCAGTTACTCTATTCCAGTCTTTGTCAGTAGAACTTGAATTCTGAATTCCAATAGTTAGTGGGATCCGGATTGCTTGAACTGTATTCCGAATGAATCACAGGATCCTGGATCCCACAACCGAAAATTTCCCGGATACCGGAATCCGCTCTACCTTACATGGGACGAATAATGTCTGTTAAATGGAGTATCGATCACTGAGAAGTGACTAGTTGACTAAATTAAACCAGGTGTGAAAACTGGATCAAAGACCTGACTCATTCTCATAGAATTAAATAACTGTGCCGTACCTCCTCCTCTTCGTTCACGTTATATCTTGCTGTAAAACGTCTAGTGACAGCATATGACAGAATTCCCAACGGAGTCAGTGCAAACGGCAACACTGCTAACACTGTCATACCAACGGTCGCCGCATATCTATGACAGTAGTCTATATAAAGAGGTAGACACATAAGAAAGATTTAACAGTTCAGTCTGAGAATGATCCGTCTACTACAAAGCAGAGAATGGGCTTGCGATTGCTGAATAGCTCCCGAAATATAAGTGTACTTTTTAGAAGCTTTTACTATGCACTAAGAATCAATAGTTGTGTAGCTGTAATTGGCTGAGAGAAATACTACACTTTTCAAAAAATGTAAGCATTGGATTCAAAATGCTCGTGAAGGGACTGATTTTAAGTGATCTTGGTTTGAGATTGAACACAGCTTATAGCTGGATGCGACCACGTACTTATTTCTCTGCATTTCGTGGATACAACGTGCTGTAAATTAGAAGGAACATGATAAAGCACAAGTGAGTAGAACTTGCATGGGTCCAAATTGCTGGGGGGAATGATGCAGGGGGCCAGAGATCTGAGTAGAAATGACGGCGTACTACGAATGAACTGATTAGAAGAAAACTTACGTGCTCCTTTAAATTGAGACTGACATTTGACTTTGTAGATCTCTCTTGACTTAGCTTCCCTTCCAAGGAATATGAAGGTGAGATGTAGACCGAGTACTCCGGCTATTAAACAAAACACTAAATGAAGAGAAATCTGTGGAAAGATAAGAAATGCACCAAAATAAAACGCCATGCAGTTTATGCATGAAGCTTAAAAGTTTGCTCTCTGTTGTCCCTGTGAATTCTTCTAAAGTACATCTTTTAGTCTGATAACTGAGTGAGTTAGGTGCTAACACCGGGGTAAAAAAAAAAGAGCGCTGAGTGGTTTGCTGTATGCCAAAAAGTACATTTAGATGATCACTATGGGTCTACCTGCAGTTTTAAACTTTTGAACATTATTAGAGGGAATATAGGTATAAAACATGTTATTCAGGCATCCATGGCCTGGAGTTGCTTCTGTAGGGGGAGAGCCAGCCAATTTCCCAAGGGCTGGTGTAGTATGTATAGTACGCTCCGGATGCTGGCAGCTGCAAATTTCTCAATGCCTATACCTACCTAAATATACCATAGATGAGGTATGGTAGTTCCTGTTGATAACCGATATACTAATTACCCTCTAATTTTTGGTGATAATTATCATGATGATGATAATTCTAAAGCATTCCAAAAAACCATTGGTGGAGAAGTTTAAACGTTTGCTCTTTATTAACTGATCAGAGAATGTGGTTTCGGTTTTATGACCATGATCAATTATTGCGCTATCTGCTGACGAGGTTTGACTGGTGACCATTGCTTTTCTCGCTTACCATACAGTTCTTTCGCATTCGTCCTCCTACCATGCCGGAAATTCCAGCGATTAATATCTAAAAACGAAAAATGATAACAACAATGATGACCAAATGAATAACAAGCGAGAAGTGCGGAGTCATTGTTGTTTTATAGTTCTGCTAAATATTACTGGTTATTTTTCCTAATTTAAGCCTCTTGACAAAACTGATATTATTTGCCCCTTCATAAGATGCGCTATCACTGACAATAACAGACATATTTTGTTGCTTTTGAAGAGTAGAAAAACAAAAGCATTGGATGACAAATGAACGTTATAAACCTTTTTAAGATCGAGACAGTGATGTTTGAAGTTTCTACTCTGGGCCTATGATTCTTTTTTGCAGTGTATAGTGACTGTAGTATCCGTCCACAATTCATTACAATAAACTGATGTTTTCGACGTCAAGAGATTATGATCACGGATGCATAAAAATGTAGTTATACCTTGTGCCCTTTCCGAACATACTGACTTGTGAATACGTACAGTTTAAGATCTCATTTTTTAGTTCAAGAGACGAATGAAAAGCACTGCTGTTATTAGTTCAAACTCAAACAGTTTTAAACAAAGCCAGCAAGATGCAATATCAGTAATACATGTGAGAGTAAGAAATACATCTACTATAAACTAAATGATTCGAATGTCATAATCTGTTTTTGTGATACGTCTTAACAAACTTATTTAGTTATGCTGTTTCTTGTTTGTGTTGCTTACCGGTACTCCTGCAAGCATTGGTGGTAGACTGAGGCTTTCCTGGTATTCTGATAACTTAAATGCGACACCGAAACATGAAAGGCCCAAAGTAAAGGCGAAAAGTCCCGATACCATGGGAATACGCCATTTATTGTCTTCGCTGATCAGTTTCAGTCTCTTACACATTTTCGTCTCTGTTTTGCAATATAACTTGCTTGAACCGCAGCTCTTATTGAATTCTCTAGTCCCTTTTCAAATCTCTTAACTCTACAACATACTAGAAGCCTACGACTGGCTCAAATTAACATACTTAAAGCGATACGTTGCATGAAGGCGAATATCCTAAAACGGATGTCAGCCTCTTTAGGTCAACAGATACCGATAATTTATCCAAGAATCTATTGGAAGACTAAACTCTAGCAAAATATCGTGAACCTTCGACGTGATGGGAAATCACGCACTGGCTAATACACAGAGCATTGGGAAGATAAAATTAGTTACAGTGGAACCCCGCCTTGCAGCCACCTCGTTATTACGACCACTTTTTTGGCTGCCTGGCAAAAACCGCTATAAATCGTCTTGCAAAACACCCTCGTTAATACGGCCAATTGTTTTTGGCGCATTGGTGGCCGTATTAACGGGGTTCCACTGTAAATGGATATAAAGGAAAAATTGGAAATAAAGAACCTGGGCGTAAAGGCTAATATATATCTTAAACGTCCGCCTACCATCCATTTCAAGCACGTTATGCGCTGGACACCACATCTGCCGGCACAGAAGTGGACAAGACTTCAGTAGTTGAGGTCAAAAGCTTTTATTAGTTTTCAATTTTATCTGGATTTTTTGTTTAAAATTTTGCTCATAGTATAAATCTACTGCTTAGATAAATCTACACAAATCTACACTTTATATGTCGATATTCAATTTGTTTTGGCCATTGAAGAGTTTTGTATGCGACTGTGAGAAAGTACATTAACAAAAAAATACATTGATAAGAGCAACATTCAGCATTAGCTAGCATTCAAGCAAATTTTACTGGAGGCGCAGTTTGGGTTGCAGAAATTAACATTAAAATATAAATTAATTGTCCACAAAATGTGCTAGAGAAATATGACGAGACCTGTTTTGTGATATATTACAGTTAAAAAGCAATTATATTTTGATAATTATATTAATCACGCAGTAAAGACAACAATCGTACGTATGTGCATGGCCGTCGATGGGCAGCTACATATATGTCCATTTGGAACAAATGCAATTCCAAATAAAAGCCCAAATGGCAAAGTTAGTCGTAAGAAAAACTAAAAAAGAGAGAAAAACTAGCTGTCCACTAGGAATCTTGCGCGTTCTGGTGGTAGGGATTGGCATACACTCTTTTTTTTATAAGAATATCGAGGCTCAAATTTGCGAAATTTTAGGAATATTTTAAGAATAAAGCCGAGGCTGAGATTTTGAAAAGGATAGATATAATTTTGGCTGCCTTTGTCATTCCGCTAACACCATGCACACCTTTCTCATGTACAGACAACCCCTGCTGGTTAACAAAGAGTTTACTGCAATGTGCCTTGACATAGTTGAAACAAAATCGGGTACTTTCGTTTCCATCACCCTATTTCTGTGCGAAATGCTTTTTTAAAGCCAAAACGGCCAAGTGTCGTTTGACGTGACATCTTGACCGAAAAGCGATGGAGCACGTGTACAATTCTAAAACGGAAATGTCATAAGCTATAATTTAAGAATAATACAAGAATATTTTCAGCCTAAAATCGGCAGAAAAATAAGAATGTTCAACCTGGGCCGGAAAAACATCATACTTATAAAAAAAAAGAGTGTATTGATAAGTTATTGACGCAGTCCTTGCCATGCGCTGAGGAAACTGGAGAGAACATTTAGTGGGAACGAACGTAGGTTTCTGATTTCCAGCGACCTAACACTTGAATCTCCTAGTCAGCAAGACCAGCTAAAGAAGCAGATGTGGCGGCACCGATCCCAAAGTTGTGTCCGCTATAAGCTGTAGGATCTACGCCAATGACTCGCAGTAAGTGAGGCACAAAGTTTAACGGGTGTAGCCTGGTCAAGGTCTGGTTTTTTCTCTAACAGGACGAGCGGCAAATCCTTGTACATCCTTATTCCTGTTGTCAATGTTAATCCTGAGTCTTATTTAGAGCCTACTGGTCATTCGTCACCAGTCTTGGCGGATATGATTCCGAGTAAATTGTTGAAAATGGCTGCTTACCCTTACCCAAAAGTCTGGTTAAAAGCCTGGTGAGCCTGGTAAACCATGGTTGAACCAGACTTACCAGGCTTTTGACAATTAACAAGTAAAATTGAAAGCCTGGTTGAGCCTAGTCTTACCAGGCTTTCAAGGTAAGCATGGTTATAATTCACCATGAAAGTCTGGTAACTCAGGTCTCGACTTAAAAATCATAACTAGAAATGCTTAGTTAGTCTGGTATTACCAGGCTTTCCTGGTAGACCTGGTTGGAAATTTCCAACTCAAAAGCCTGGTAAGCCTGGTTTAACCAGGGTTTTCTGGTAAATCTAGTTTAAACTTTTCACCTCAAAAGCTTGGTAAGCCTGGTTTAACCAGAGTTTCCTGGTAGGCCTGGTTAAAATCCCCTACCTCAGAAGTATGGTAAGCCTGGTTTGACCAGGGTTTCCCGGTAGGCCTGGTAAAAATCTCCCACCTCAAAAGCATGGTTATCCTGGTTCTCCCAGACCTTTTTCTAGTAATCTGGTTTAATTTAAACCTTAAACGCTTGATAAGCCTGGCTGACAATGACAAATCATAAAATATGTAAACAAAGGACAAAATGTAAACAAGGTTTAGTTTCGCCAGAACAAAATGCAAGCATATCTGTCGTTTGATTTATTATTTTTATATAGACCGCTGTAAAATGATCAAAGTTTTGGACCGACAGTATCGAAATTAATTGATCGAAAATTTTCCATACGTGCATTTCATGAGACATTCGTAGTTTTTACACTATACAGTTAAGGATCTCCGATGAAAAGGGCGTCCTTGATTAACCGTCCAGAAAATAATACTTAATTATTTTAATTAGCGACATCGAAGACTCTCTTGTATCAACAACTAAATGTAACAAGTTGTTTCTGAAATAGCAAAGTTACTTGGCAACCTGTTTCTTGCCACTCTCACAACTCACACAAGAAGCTAGCCCGCTGTCAAATGACCAAATTCTTAGACACACTGTCGGAAAGAAGCCGGTTCAAAAAACTGTACCTCAGATTATTAGTGCAGTTTTTGCAGTGCAGTTTTTGCCAGCGCTACTCTTAGCTTGTTTAAACTATCAGGTTCAAGTTTTATTTTAACGACATTAAAGATCCGCTTAAAAATATTGGTCTATAATTTTAGTTTTTGATTAAACACATTGTTTTGAAAAACAATAAATTACCTGGCAACTTTCTATCGTTAGAAAGCAGGTTAGTTACTCATAGCATTCACAACGAATTGACGTATCTTTTCTCCGTAAAATCTGAAAAGAAAAAGAAATATGGGGTGACAAGAACCAAACTGTCACCGATGGAGTTTTACCGGTCTGTTGTGCGAAATAAGTGTTACAAAACGTAGCAACTATTACCCATTCTCCTCTATTTAACACATATGTGTTATGGATTAACAATAAACACCATTCACTTTTCGCAGTTGACTCATATTTAAGTATAATATGTGCATCACAGAAAAGAACAGGCAGTTTCACTCAGACTTGCATCGGTTGTTCACTGCCAACCTCGTACGTAACATCGGCAAGTATTTCTTTGGTAAGTTCGACTTGGGATTAAATTGTCTTCCGTCAGCACTGAAAAAAGGGCATTTTACACTAGAGTAAATTTTTTAACCAGGGGGAATGTCTGAATAATCCAAAAATTTATCTTAAAAATTTCAGTTTTTTTTTTCAAGATGAAGGAACTGAGAAAGTATCTTTAGTAGATTGGTCAACTTAAAGCAAATTGTAACTGACACCGAAGGAAAATGTTTAGAGGACAATAGTTTTGTGGTATTTGGTGCATATTACATCTTTATACCGATTTTTTGTAAGAATTACTGGCCTTTTTTCAACTTATAAGTTTGTTCCTTCCAATTGTTCAATATATATCTCGATTGAATAAAACGAAATAAAAAACACTGCTGAGTAGAATGAAGCTTATAAATGTCTTTTTGGACTGATAATGATTTGTCTCTTGTTTATCGTCGTTTCGTACAGAAAGCAGAATATGAGAATGCTGTGTATATTTTTGGGGTTGCTGTTGATTTTGATGCCTGTCACAGGCGAAGATTTACAAAAATTGGACTTATCCGAGTCGAAGTAAGAAACAAGTGTTATATCATCATCATTATTATCATAAATTACTGTTAATATTATTATTATTGTTATTATTATTATTATTACAGCCTGCCCGAATTTTTTTTTTTTTTTAAGAATTAGGAAATTAGGAATACGAGATTTTTTTTTAACTTCTTTTCTTTTTAAAATCAGAGACGGATTAGTAATGACTTAATTTAAAACTCTGGACTGCCTGTAAGAGTTAGTATGAGCCGCAAGAAATGTTTTTTTGAAATCGTTCTTGACACAGTGATTGCTATTTTTATCATTTGTACTATTCTTAGTGTTATATGGTGCTTGGTTCTTGCTCCGGGTGTTTCTGTGGCTTTTGTACATATTTTTTAAAGTTGAATAACACAAAATTATTACATTTATTTCTTATTTTTTTTAAAAATTATTATTACTATTATTATTATTATTATTAAGATATGCTCACTTAAAAATTATGCCGTAAATTATAATACGCAAACGAGTTTTAGCCAATCAGACTAAGGAGCGAACGATCCTTTTCACACTCGAAAACCGTGACACGTCCAGTCGGAATTGAGAACGAAGTGTTTTTTTCACATAAGAGAAAAATCATGCATCCAATCAAAAGCCACATAGGCACATGAGATTCACCATGTTTCCGCCTTTTCAAAGCTACCTCCAGCGCCAACGCTTCACAGAGATAAATGTTTGGAGTCCATACAGGAGCGTTTTCTCCTAAAAAGTAAACAGCACCCCGGAAATTACAACTGCAATCGCCGAATTCAACAATCCGGATTTTATATTTTCCTCATTCTATTACACATTAGGTGTGCACAAGAGAGGATATCCTCTCTTGGTGTGCAGCAAATACCACTCGATGAAAATTCACAGTTTGATGTGTTTATTTTAAGAATCTTCATTGCTTCTCTGGACTGCTCAGCTTCTTATCAAAGCAATAACAAGACAGAATGCGAATTCTACCTGACTAACGAGGGGCATCAGGATTATTACGTACTAAAATTGAACACGCCTCTGGAAGGTCATCCTTTCGATTGCCTGAGAGTCACTCGAAATGGTAAGAAGATAGAATATGATGGCATATTCGTCAGACGCAGGAACCTACCAGGTCCAGCTGATTTCTTGCTTGTTCCAGCAGGAAAGACTGTTTCAGCGGCTTATGATGTTTCTGCTGGTTATATGACATGAGTGAAGGCGGAACCTACAATGTGGCAGTAGACACGTATATAGAATTTGTAGAGGGTAGCGTTAATAAGCGTATCAATGAACTTGGGAATTCAGCCATGCACTTAAAAACATATCATTTGTATTCTAAGGCTGTAGTGTTTAAAGTCACTGAAAATCGGTTTAGGAAAACTCTCGGACAACAAGCACGTTTTTTAGAAAAAAAAGATAGACTTACTGCTATTATTTTCTCTAACAGAAAAGCACAAGAAAACGGAAAGCTTGGTTATAAACGTAGCCAAGCTATAAATATTCCACGTGATCCTGTAATCAAAGGGGGAACTGAGCAACAAAGGGCAGAGTTATTAGAAGTTCACCGTGCCTCATATAATTACGTAGTGGCGGCCATTACTGATCTTAATAACAGCCCCGAAAGAGTAAAAAAGTGGTGATGGCGATGAGGCCGCCAGGGTCTTTAAAGTGATGAAGAATTCATTAGAAAATGACGTTTTCACTTACAATTTTAACTGTAAACCTGAGTATGGATTAGCTTATGCGTACACGTATTTCAACTCGCACTTAATTTTTCTTTGTCCAGCTTATCACCCTCAAGGAATATTTTCAGGATCCGAAAATAAAGTAGGTACCATTGTACATGAAATAGCCCATGCAAGAGTTTCGAAACATGACATAATTTATGGTCGTTGGGGCTGTAAAAACCTGGCTAAGGATGAGCCATATAAAGCTCTTAACAACGCTGATAATTACGCATATTTTGTGGAAACGCTGTACCCTTTCAACAGCGGAGTAGACGCAGCAACCACAACGCCAGATGGTTTTACATATTTGTTTAAAGGAAACTTTTTTGTCAGATTTAAAGGTAGCGTTACTAGCTTTTCGCCTCGTTGGCCAGTTTTGTTTAAAGAGCGCTTTGGAAATTTGCCTGCCAAGTTCGGTCAAGGATTAGACAGTTTTCTTTGTCTAAAGACATTTGGCTATTCTTATGCCACAAAAGGCAGTGAATACATTCGTTTTAAAAGCACAAACTCGCCAGCGCTGTCTAATGGCTACCCCGCATCTCTTCAGGCAGGATGGGGCGTATCTTCAGAGTTTTCCCTAGGTTTTGATTCTTCAGTTCAGCTTTCTAATGGTCTCACCTACGTAACTAAAAAGGACTTGTTTATAAAATACTCTGATAATTCAGCATCTTCTGTAAATAGTGGTTATCCCAAGAAGCTCGACAGTGGGGAATGGGGAGATTTGCCAGAAAACTTTAAAAGTGGATTTGATGCGATGACCGTCTTTCAAAATAAAAAACTTCATGTGTTCAAGGGGTCCGAGTACATTCGATACAGTAATTTTCCAACTATTGATTTAGGTTATCCTTCACCAATCAAGGGAAACTGGGGCGACATTCCTCAAGATTAATGCAGTAAGAGTGTTTTGCAATGGTTCAATGTTTTAGCTTAGTACACATTTGTAGATGTGGGTCAAATGGTACGGTATGGTATGGTATGGTATCTTTATTTATACACGGTATTTCCTTCAGGTACATTTACATTCATTATAGAATAACTAACTTCCTAACTAATCTAAAATCTAAGATAAAAACTAAAATAATAAAGATGAAAAGAGAACACCTGCTTTTCAAGGAAACCATGTGTAAAAACAGAACATCGCTAATTAAACTATTTGTCAATCGAAATTTGTCTCTTAATTACTGGGCTGCCTGTGCGGCCCAGTCATAAAATGGGCTTTCGGTCGTCGGTGTCAAAAAGTGGTCTCCCGGGGGAGGGAAAACACGAGGGTCTGGTACCGAGAAACGATGTTCTCACAAATGGTTTCATATGAGTTTCTCTTGCACGGAGCCTTGTACGGATACTTTTTGTACCTTGTCTGCTCTCCCCCTGAAAAACCCACAAGGCGTTGCGAACCTGAAGAAGGCTATTTGCGTTGTTCGAAGCGATTCGACCATGGGAGTCACCAGGAGCCCATCAAATGGAGCCTCCATCTCCATTTATTTCTTGAGTCAACCCTTTCCCGAGTAGATTTATAAATAGAACGGCTTGTTTCCCCCAAAAAGTGTCATATTTCCGTGAGTCTCGTATGTCACCGTGAAAAAAATGAAGTTGGATGAAGTCGAACTCAGAAGCCCGTCCTTCGACCGTTTTCCTTTTTTACTATACGTCCATTTTTACAATTTTACAGCCGCTGGGATCTGGGAATCATGAAGCAAAAGTTAACTGAGACCGAGCATGAAGCGATGGGACAAAGGCAGCGAGCTGAGGATCACGGAAAGGTTATCTTTGCGAGTTTTTTTTTTTTTTTTGCCGTCATACATTCCACATTTAAGCATGCATGATGGGCTCCTGGTTCTGTTGCATGCAATGGTTGCCGGCAAGGTTTTATGGTAGTCTGAGTGTGTATAGCCGCCCCCTCCCGTCAGAAAAAAATAGCCCCTTTGTAGCCCAGTTAAAAATCGCTCTTCGGCGATTCTTGTTTTCCCTTAAATATACTAGGGGATGTCAATTGGTTGACAAATGCAAAATGATAAATGCAAGATAATAAGATAAGATAATAATAGTAGTAGCAGTAGTAGCAGTAGCAGCAGCAGCAGTAGTAGTAGTTGTAGTAGTTGGCAAATCTACTAATAAATGTTTGAGATATACAGTTGAACTCCATTAACCGGCCCGTGACCTTCGGGGTACAGGCAAGTGGTAGCTTAATGGAGGTTGGCCGCCCAAAAGAGGCTAGTAAGAAACTAAGTTGGAAAAATCTTAAGCAGAGACATCACTTTATTTTGAAAGGAACATGAGAAGGGAGCAGCATACTAGTCCGCAGTAAGTCCTCACCTCTTTCGATCTCGGATTGTATTTTTCTTCATCATATTCTTGAAATAAAGCCAAACTAAGTGTATCGACCGCTTGATGGCCGCTTAATAGACCTTGTCACGGTTTTCGACGCCATCTTGACGAGTAGGCAAACATATGAGAAATTACAGTGTTTGTATGAGAATCATCCTCGGAGAACCAGGGGCAGTTAGTCGGGTCGATAAAATGTTTGTGGTGAAAGTTTACAGTAAACTTTCACCACAAACATTTTATCGATCCGACTAACTGCCCCTGGGTCTCCGAGGATGTATGAGAATCTGATGTCGAATAATTTCCGTAAAACGGCTGTTCTGAAATGTCAATCGTAAACTAAAGCTACAAAGCAAAGGATTGTCCTAAAAAAATTGGGGGCCGTACCTGTGCTTAAATTTCTCTAGAGGCTTGCTTTAGATTTTCCATATATTTGTCTGTCAGGCCCGGCCAGGGGTTTTGGGTATACAGTATCCTGGGCTATTTTAATTCAGGTATATGGTATTTTTTGGTCAAAATTCGGGTATAAAGTATTCAGTTTTTCCTGAATTTTAGGTATTCGGTATATGGTACAGAAATCACTGAGAAATGTATAATTCATTTCTCAGTTTTATTATCGCTCTAATGCTCACTAGAAATAGATGCTCGAAATTGTTATTGTTTGGCTTCCTGTCCCAGTCTCCCACCACCACCCCAACCCACACCACCTCCCGAGTCGCAATCTCGTACCCAGGGCACACAGGGCTCGTTGAAAGTTCAGGGTATCAAGGGCTCAACTTCCCAGACCCAAGGACCAGACGGAACACTATCTGCTACTACACTAAACTCCGTGAAGATGATACTGGAAGGCCTCACTAGACTGAGGACAAAGGTGATGGAACTCAGACCAATCCAAACTTCATTCAACACTTAGACATTGAAAGCCTTTTAACTCTCTTTGTTGAAAACTTCTTTTCCAGTATGAGAGGGGTAATACGGACACTCCCATGATGCTCGACTTGTGCTTGCGCTTTCCCTGATGTATTAACGAATTATTAAAACGTGTCACAGGTACGAGCTACAGGTACTTTACAAATCCAGTGGCCTCGTACTACCCTCAGCCTACTTTAGGTGATGTTGATATAAACTTCTGTGACCTTGCAAAATTCCCGAAGCCTTTGTCTGGTTGCTTATCCAAAAAGCAATTGGATGAGATCTCTCCGTGGGTACAGCAATACGGTAAGAGTGTCAGGCAGAATACCACAAGGAACTTTTCAACAAAAGACAAGCCAGGCACCCTACCATTGAACCTCCACGAGTCTGCACCCCCGGAGCAACATTCAGTTGACTTTGATGTGCTTCTCAATGAAGACATCCCCGTTCAACACCAAGATACCAGCACAGAACGTAACATTGTCATCGCCCAGTCTAGGTATGTTGTAGTTTCCCGAATATACAAACCGCGTTCTGCTCCAAACAGCCCACTGTATATTACAAAACTGTTAGGGGATGTGGTTGATGACTATGACAGTGCTCGTTACGTAACAACTCTCTGTTACACCCAAGATGTTGCCGATCCTCTCCTATTCACTACTTCGAGAGAAGAGCATGTCATCTCAAAAGAGGGCATAAAGGGGTTGTAAGCAGCATTACAGTTGTTGACAAGGAAACTGTTGAAATAGATGAAGGGGAGTATTATCTGCTCCTGGCCTTGGAGAACGGATCCACTGACACCACCTCTCCCAATGAAGCTGATGAAGAACCTTTTACAGAGAGCGTTGATGGACAAGGTGACGAGGATTCCATCATCATGGACGCTGGCTGACCGCAAAGGAAGCGGAAGAGGACAGTGAACCAGGAGTTTCTCTTTTATTAAGATCTGACTCGTTCATTTTCAGGTATTCAGTATTCTGTTTCAAAATAATTTTAGGTATTTGATATCACACATTTTACGATTTTGAGGTATATTGGTATCTTGGGGGCGAAATAGCAGGTATATTGGTATCCCCCTACCCCCCCCCGGATGTCAGAGTCAACAAAATAATGTCTCAAGAAAAGATCTAAAAGAAAAAGCTGGCCGACTTTTGTGTTCACCGCAGGTTTATTTTGTTTTTCTTTCTATTGGGCCCAGTTATGTGTAAATTCAGCTTTGAATATACTTATGCATAACAGTATATGATAAAAAAGTTACCATAAGTTACGATTGCTTTCTTCTTGTCGATGAATTGCTCACAATGCTTAGGGGTTCATTTACTGAAAAATATGCTATACACTTCATAGACTACAGATTATAACCGTTACAACAACTTAAGCCTTTTTTTAAAAAAAGCGAACTCGGGCTCAAAAAGCTACAAGTCTGTCGGTAGAAGAAACGAGAACTCTTATATTTGACAAATGTTTTCGGCAAAACTGAAAGAAAATGTAAATAGGCGCATGAAACTTCATTTAAGCGGTATTCAAGGCATGAATTTAATATGGAAACAAGTAATAATCCATAGAAAAGAGTTTGTTAGTCGAGGCAAGATTTTCGCTTAATGCTTTTATTTTTACAACTGAGACGGCAACCCAGAGTGTTCGATATAACTTCTTGTTCTCTTCACCTAAATGACAACCAGGACAACCTGACAATAGGAAGCCATTCAATGTGCGTCTCAGTCAAATCTTGAAAACATGCATCGTAAATAACTAAGTGAATAAGTAGGTAAGGAAATAATAACGCCCGATATCATGAAGCTGAAAAAGACAATAAATTATATTAGGTAATTAATTCCAGATTCCAGGTACTGCATTCAAGTCTTTGTCAGTAGAACCAAGAGACTATGATCTACTCTCTCTTGGTAGAACTTGGATTCCGGATTTCAATCGTTAGTGGGAACAAACTCCTATCTGTGGACAAGAGAGGATAAAGCTCGAGCTTTATCCCCTCTTGCTGTGGATTATTACATGTTTCTATATTAAATTCATGCCTTGAATACCCACTTGAATGTACTTTACTGGCACTTCAAGCCCAACGTCTCTCCTCCTCTTTCCAGTTACTTGTGCAAAGAGTTTATTTTGGGAGTTTGCGACCAGGAAGTTTTTCAACAAGCGTTTTCTTTATTTTTGCCGAAAACATTTGTTAAAATTGAAACACTTCTCGTTTCTTTTACCAACAGACTCGTAGCTTTTCGAGCCCGAGTTAGCCTTTTTTAAAAAAGGTTTTAAGTTGTTGTAACGTTTATTATTTAGTCTATGAAGTGTATCGCACATTTTTCAGTGAATGCACCCCTAAGAATTTGTGAGCAATTCATAGACAAGAAGAAAACAATGGTAACTCATGGTAACATTTTTTATCAGATACTGTTATGCATAAGTACATTCAAAGCTGAATTTATACATAACTGGGCCCGATAGAAAGAAAACAAAATGAACTTGCGGTGAACACAAAAGTCGGCCAGCTTTTTCTTTTATGTCTTTTCTTGAGGCATTATTTTGTTGACTCTGACATCCGTAACCTGTAAATTGGCTACCGTAGAGTATCATGAATAAAAACGATTTTTTGCCCTTTATATTTTTTTCATATAACTCTTTTTCACTCAGTTACCTCGA